CGGGTGTATGTATGTATGTACGTATATATATATATATATATATACGTGTATGTGTATGGATGTATGCATGTATGTATGTAGGCCTGAATTAATGTGTGTGTGCAGGTGTGCATGTATGTATGGATGTACGTAATGTATGTATGTATGCATGCATGCATGCATGTATGTATGTATGTATGTATGTATGTGTATATATCTGCGTATGTAGGTATATATGTATGCATGCATGCATGTATGCATGTACGTATGTATGTATGTATGTATGTATGTATGTATGTATGTATGTATGTATGTATGTTTTTATGTGTGTATGTATGCTTATACGTATGCATGCACGCATGTATTTATGCACGTATGTACGTTTGCATGTATGTATGTATGTATGCATGTATGTATGTAGGTATGTATGGATGTATGAATGTATGTATGCACGCACGCACGCACGCACGCACGCACGCACGCATGCATGCATGTATGTATGTATGTATGTATGTGTGTATGTATGTATGCATGCATGCATGCATGCATGCATGCATGCATGTATGTATGTATGTATGTATGTATGTAGTATAGCTGGACTGTGGTCAGGCATTTGTGCTTAGCGTATCGCGCCGCCGATTCTGGCCCACCACGCTTCGGCGCGACACGCTAAGCGCGTTCTGGTCCCCAGTCGTCAACGTCCCAAGCATTTCGCAGCTTCCCGCCCTTCGGAACGGAACGACACGCTATCAGCTCGCAGGACATAGCGTGTCGCGGGGGCCGCTGCCGCGACATGCTGCGCAATAGTTCCTGACCGTAAACGGGTTGGTCAATGTCCAGAGTTCGCTGGGAACTCCCACGACAGCTTTCGGGGCCACGATGTCAGGGTCCACATGTGTGCTCTTGTAACGTGCAGGGTTTTGGACTGGCCCCGCCTGCGGCTCCCACCTTGGCGGTCTGGCCCTCCCCTCTTTGGGGCCGGCCGGCCTTGGCCGATCCCCCGGGCGGGCCCCCACACTTTGCTTGGTTTTCAGGCCAGCCCGCAGTCCTCGTGCTGGCCTTGCCGGTTGGCCTGCTCGCTCCCCGCGCCTCGCAGGTGCGTGGATCTCGGCGCCTCGTGTTGCTCCGCCTGCTGGGCCCTTCCCAGCTACCCCGAGACCCCGCTCCTGAGGAGGCCTTCTCTGGTTGCTCAGTCGCTTGGAGCGTCGGCTCGATCTCGGCGCTCAGCCGCCTCGCTGTGCTGCCCCTCGCCAGCCCCTCCTCGGCCTGATCCCCCCCCCGCCTGCCGATGCTGCCCCTGGTGCCGCTCCCCCCCCCCCTGCCCCACGGCCGCCTCCCCGCCGCCCTGGGCTGCCCCGCCGCCGCCTGGCCCCGCTCTGAGCGGACCTACCCTCTGTCTCCACCCTTCCCGCGCCGGGCGTTCCCTCTCATCCTCTCGTGCATTGCGGCACACTTCGCATTTGTATGCCCTAAATTTGCCCCATCCGCCAGCGCAGTCACAGTCACTCTGCCTAGCCGCCGAGGCAAAAAGTGTGTGAGTGTTGATTGCGGCGGCCTCAATTCAGAGGGTCCGACGCTGCCTTGCCTCACCCCCGTGTTCAGGCCGTGGGCCTCCGTCTGGCACCCCGAAGGGCCATCGAGAGCCTCCGTCGCGCACTCGTGCCGAGCTGAATTCGTCTCGATCGACTGATGCGCGCATTATTTTGCCAAGGGTCCCCAGGGGGGAGGGGGAGGACGAGGGTGAGGATGAGGAGCTCTTGATGATTCGCATATCCCCACCCGCGCTCGCCGCCGCTCCATTTTGGCTGCGCTTACTTGCTGGTCGCCACCGGGATCTCCACGCCACCGGGTTGGGAGTTTCGTTTCTGGCTCTTCTTCTGAGTGGCTGCCCGCGCGTTCGCTTCGCTTGCCTTTTTTTTCTTGCTGCCTAGTCGCGGCCCGACTAGTGTTCGGACGGCTTTCGACCTGCTTCGCGAACCCGCAGATAACAAAAAAAACGTATCCCCACCAGCCCATCCCGAAACGATCGGAGACTTCCTTGAGAAAGAAACTCGTTAAACCACCTGCGCCCAGAGGGCTGGTACCAAGGGCTCCCAGTGCGGGAGGGGGAGGACGAGGATGAGGATGAGAATTGCGCGCGTGCGCAGTATGCCCGTGGACAGCGCCGCGAAACAGGCAGTCGGCCCGTGCAGTCGCACCTGGCGGCCAGGCGCGCCATGTCCTGAGCAGGGCACCTCCGCAGCCGCTTCGGCCCGCGTCCTGCGCGCGGTCGGCGCCTGGGCCGCGCGCCCATGGCTCGGGCTTGCGCGGCCGCTGCCCAGCTCCCGTGGGGCCTGGCGACGGCTCCCGGCGCCGTGCTGGACGCCGGGGCCCCGTCGGGGCACCCGGGGTGGCCGGGCGGCGGCGTGCTGTGCGGCTCGGGCGCGGCGGGCGCCTCTGCCGCGCCTGGCGCCCCGCGGAGGGCGCGGGCCACGGCCGCGGATGGCCTCGCCCTCCCCGCGCTGGCTGGGGCTGGCGCCGTGCTGGCGGTGCTCAGGGCTGCCGCCCGCAGGCTGGGCGCAGCCGAGGGGCGCGGGCTCACCGCCATGCGCTACAAGCCGGGCCGCGGGAAGTGGAAGACGGACAAGCCCGGGCCCAAGAGCGGGAAGTGGACCACCAAGCCAGATAGGCTCCAGCCCACCTGGTGTGAGCGCAATCCGGGCACGATGCCGCGGAAACCCAAGCTCATGGATACTTATCCAGCCGCCTGTGGCGAGTTCCGCCACCTGCCAGCTCGGCACTCTGGGTGGCGAAGTTTCGAGTATCATGTGATATATCTCAGCTCTCTCATTCTTGAGGGGCTCTTCTGGGTCCCATTTTGGGGCAACTTGGTACTGTATTGGGCTCCTGTGGGGCAGTCTTCGGGATCCCTTTCAGCGCTTGGGGCCCATTTTGGCAATTTTGGGACTTTCTTGGCCGACTGGGGGGTCTCTTACGGCCGTCGTCGGGCCGTCTTAGGCCGTCTCCCTCTGGAGGCCCTCTTGGGTCAGCTCCCTTTTGGGCTTCACATTGGGCCCGTTTGAGCTTTCGGCGACCGCAAGCAGGCTGAACTTCGACCGAAGATCGTGGAAGGCGAAAGGGTAAAATACATAGAGCCTGTTGGGCCATAATGCGCGTCATGGCCCCCCGCCCCTCTCCCTACACGACGTAAAGCTCTGGCCCCCAGTGCACCAGGGATCTGCATAGGGAATCGAATAGGGATCCGCATAGGCATCCGCACAGAAATCCGCATAGGGATCCGCACGGGGATCGCATAGAGATATCCATCGATATCCGCATAGGGATCCGCATTGGGATTCCCAGGGATCTTTCAGAGATCCGCATAGGGATCTGCATAGGGATCCGCACAGAGATCCGCGTTGGTATCCGCAGAGGGAATCCGCATAGGGATCCGCATAGGGATCCGCATAGGCATCTGCATGTGGATCCGCGTAGGGATCCGCATGGTCATTCGCATAGGCATCCGCATAGGGGTCCGCATAGGAAGCCGCATAGGCATCCACAAAGGGATCCGAATAGGGATGCGCACAGGGATCCCCGGGGTCCTCATAGGGATCCGCATAGAGATCCGCATAGGGACAATTGGCGCGGGCAAGTTGCGGTGCTCTCAGGCACTTGTGGTGTTCGTAAGAGAGCAATAAGAGGAGAATGACGACGACCACAGCGACGACGACGACGAGGATGGAGGAGGGAGGTAAGGAGCATACCTCTTATACGCCACGTGGAGGCAACGACGCCTTTGCAGGTATGTGCTCGCCACAACTCTTCGTCGCTCTTCGCAGTCGGTCGTCGCCGTCATCGTCGTCGTCCTCGTCGTCGCCGTTGTCGTTGTCGTTGTCGTTGTCGTCGTCATCGTCTTCGTCTCTCGTCGTCGTCGTTGTCGTCGTCGCTCTTCGTTGTCGGTCGTCGTCGTCGTCGTCGCTCGTCGTCGTCGGCGTCGGCGTCGTCGTCGGCGTCGTCGTCTTTGTCGTCGTCGCTCGTCGTCGTCGTCGTTGTTGTCGTCATCTTCGTCGTCGGTCGTCATCGCTCGCCGTCGCTCGTCATTGTCAAACGCCTTCGAATGCTTTCGAGGGCCTCTGGAAGCCTTCGGATTACCTCCTGAAGGCTTCTGGAGGTTTCGAGAGGGCGCAGCAAATCTACAGAGCTGGGGAACCCTCCGAAGACCGCCGGAGGCGTCGTCGTCGTCGTCGTCGTCGTCGTCGCTCGTCGTCGTCTTCGTCGACGCCGTCGTTTTCGTTTGTCGTCGTCGTCGTTGTTTGTCGTCGTCGTCGTTTGTCGTCGTCGTCGTCGTCGTCGTTGTCGTCGTCGTTGTCGTCGTCGTTGTCGTCGTCGTCGTCGTCGTCGTCGTCGTCGTCGTCGTCGTCGTCGTCGTCATCGTCGCTCGTCGCCGTAGTGCGCGCGGACGCTGTGGTGGCGTCGGAACCGCATGGCGAGGGGGGGGCGTTACGTTAGCCCTCCCCCCCGCCCCTGCCCCCCCCCCGCGGCCCCCCCCCCCATCCCATAGCGCCTGTTGTCGCCGCGAATGAAGAAACGCGCTCATAGGACACACTCTGTTTTTGGGCTCTCGAGGGGTGCGTCAAGGGCCCTCTGGGAGTGCTCTTGTCATGTGGTCGGCGCGTCTTGGGAGATCTTGGGTGCCCCCTGAAGCTTATTGGGTCACCTTGCCGCCTGGGAAGCCTCGGAGAGCCTTGCAGAGCGCCACAAGGGCGTCAGGCCGCCGAGGAGACGTCGAAAAGGGGGACGATGAATGCAGCTGGGCGTAGCGAGCGGGTGGGGGCCGTAGAGGACTACAGAATCCAGACAGCATTTGGCATTCTGCCACACCTCAACGTGCCAATGGGCACGGTGGCGGATGACGACGGCCGTGGGTCCGACCCCATGAACAACTTCTACAGACAGATGCAGGCGCAGCAGAACAACCAGTTCAACATCATGCTGAGAAAAGGCTGGCAGAAAGGCTCACGGCGACTGGCCCCGCCAAGGCTGCTCTACGAGGGAGAGGTTGAGCCAGGGGCGAACCCGTGGGTCGACAGGTTCCTGGTTTGCAAGGGTTGTGAGATGCGTGGCCTGGTTGACGATCTCCCGCCCATCGAGGGCTGCAACGGCACCGCCGTCCTGGAGGTTGACATTACGGCGCAGTTCACCCGAGAAAACACGCTCGTCGTCAGCTGCGATATTCTGCAACTGATCATGACCGGCATCTGGGTCACGAAGGACCAGGAGTCCGGGGAGTGGGTCAGAGCCTCTGACAAACCGGGCGACCCTGGCGTTCCCGGCGCTATCCCGGTACAGGTGTGCGCCAGCTGCCGCAAGACCACGCTGGACGAGGGCCGGGCGTTCGACGTTTGTCAGGACTGCCAGGGCGTTTGGTACTGCAGCGACGAGTGCTGCGCGGCGCACCGCATGAAGCACAAGGCGACGTGCTGCGAGCCGTACCTGCCCCACCGGAAGCAGTGGGGGGTCAAGGATCGGCACCACCCAAACTTCTTAACTGGCGAAAGAGCAACACACACACCCACACCCATAGGGGGGTCGGAGGGAGGAAGACTGGCTATGGGTATAGGCGCGGGTTGTCGCACCTCGGGGGAGGCTCCCGTCCGAGCGGGCACCCCCATCCGACAAACCGCACCCATAGCTCATTCCGTCCCCCCTGTCGGTATGGGTGCGTGTTGATCGCTCGTCACTTCTGACTTATGCATCGTGTGTGCGCCGGCCTTCAGGGGTCGACGCGCGCGCTCAGGAGTCTCATGCTGTATGCTCGAGTACGTGCTCGGTGGTGGGCGCTTTCTGGCCATATCGCCTGGGTAACGGTATGCTATAGAATGTGTCTGTGCCATACGTTCGGTTCGGACGTGCGCCTCCAAGGGGGGCGCATAGTACTGGCGGGTCCTCCAGCGTCCCAGAGGAGGGCGTGAAGGGGCTGCGGGACGAGATGTACCCCCTGACCGGGCTGGCCTCCTTCCGGGAGCCGCACGAGCACCGCATGCCCTGGCTGAGGAGGCCCGAGCACGCCAAGAAGCTAGCACCTGGGGGAGTGAGGACGGTGTCCCTGCCCGGCTTCGGGGACAGGACCATGCTGCCAGTGAGGAGCGGGCAGCTCGATCAGATCAGGACGGGAGCGGACGGGACCATAACAATCACGCCCGCTCAAACGGTCTCGTCCCGAGAGCCTCGCATGGTCCGGGAGACGCCGGAGCCGGATCCAGAGATCCTGACCTTCCTGAACATGACCCGCGACGAGTACGTGGAGAAGGACCAGAAGATGCAGCTGGCGCTCGCCAAAGAGGACTGCGAGGCACTTGGGATCGTCGGGATCGCCCCCGTCGCGCGCAGCGCGGAGTCGGAGGCTGGTCCGACCCCGTCGTGGGTCAAGCCGAAGCAGAGGATCGAGCACTGGCGAAGCGTCCTGACCTGGCTGTATGCCCACCAGAGACTGTTCTCAGAACCTTTCGCGGTCAGCACGGGGTGTCCTCAGAGCCTTTCTGGCCGAGACCGTCCTGTTGTGATGCGTCGGCGCCATGCTCTCAGAACATCTTATTGTCCCAGGAACGCTTCCTGGTATTGGGATGCAACTCCTGGTAGGTCAAATTTTACTCTGCCCTGGTCTGAAATCTGGCTCAATTCGGTTTGATCCCGCTGAATTAAGCAGCTTAATCCGGCTCAATCTGGTTTAATCTCGCTTAATCCGCGGCCTAATCCGCCGTAGTAACCCCCCAATGGGGCTTAGTTCTTCATCCTTCCGACGAAGACCTCCCAGTAGTTGCCTCTTAACTGGTAGGCCTATAGGAACTCAGGGACGGTCGGCCCCTGCTCAACAGGAGGGTCATGGATGGCGTCGACGAGCCCCGGACGAGGCCGGGCCGCGTGGAGCTCGACGAGCGCGCAGTGCAGCGCCTGGAGGCGGCGCAGGTCGAGGCCGTGCGGCCCGGCCAGCCCAGGCCAGAGGTGGTGCCCGCCCCCTGGGTGGCGTTCGAGCGGAGCGGGGCCGACGAGGACGAGGATCCTGACGTGGCAAGCTCTGCGGGCCGGGCCTCTTCGCCCGGCCTGTTGGCCCTGGGGGCTCTCGCAGACCGATCCGGCTCGAAGAGTGGCGCGGAGAGAGAGGGGGCCCAGGGCTCCAGGGGGTGACCTTGCAGGACACCTCAGCCGTGTCGCGCCGTCGGCTCTCGGGGACGGGTCCGGTCGGCGCTCGGGTCTGCCGAGGCCCTTCCGGTGCTGCCCGGGAGGCCCCGAGTGCTGCACGGGCTCACGGTGGCCCCGAGGCGGCAGTCCCGTGGCCGCCTGGGCAGGTCGGCGCTCGGGCGGCTTCCGAGGCGCTCGCGCGGCCCCCCCTCGGAGCCCAGCGCTGACCTGGCTGTGCTTTCTGCTCCCCAGAGGAGTTCGAGGTCATAAAGCCCAACCCCGGAGCCGGGGATCTCCCGCCGCCGGCGGAGCGCAAGGAGTCGGAGGGCGTCGAGCGACCACCTCACCGACCCTGGGCGACGGGCCGACCAGGGCCCAAGACGGGCTCGGCCAGGATCGGTGAGGCGGCTCGGTGGACGCCCGCCGAGAGGAGGGCGTCGTCTACAGGGACTCCCTGGTGCGGCAGGACGCGAAGAGGAGGGGTCTGCGGCTCTCGGAGGAGGCACTGCAGCGCATGGAGGCGGTGGGCACGGTGGCCAGGAGAGCTGGGGATGTGCAACTCCCGGGAAGTCCAAGTCGGCATCAGTCGGTCCGTCAAGCCTGGCGCTCAAACGGCGCACTGGCAAACAAAAAGTAATGGATGGGACGCTCGCGGATTGGAGGGGGGAGGAGCGGGACAGGAGGAGGGCGGAAGACAGGAAGAGAGAGAGAGAGAGGAGCTGTGGCGAAAGTGTCTATAGGCCGTGCGGGCTAACAGGTGACAGTGCCTACAGGCCAGCATTGGCGCTGGTATATCCGTGGTATGTAGCTTCATGGGCGGATAAGGGTGAGGCGGGGGAAGGGGGAGGAGAGGACGAAGAGGAGGACGGGGGGAGGATGGGGGGAACAGCAAGAGCAATAGCAGGAGGAGAGGTGGAAAAGTCTCGGGCGCGCGGGCGCTCGTCCACGCGTGAGGGCGCCTCCTACGGAGCCAGCGCGCCTCCAGCAGTGTGACGAGCGTCGCGGGCAGCACCAGGAGGGGCAGGCACGGGGCCAGTCAGCGGCACGCGGACAGCGGCTTCCCGACGGACGCGGGGCCAGAACCCCACGTTCTCGATGCGTCTGGCCGTCCGCTCCCGCTCGAAGAAGGCGACCACGTCGTAGACAGTGCGCGTGCGAGCGTCTGCCCTGTCCGCGGGGATGAGCGGACGTCGCCTCCAGCTGCCGGGCCCCGTCTTGAAGTCGCAACCGTACACAACCGTGGACCCCGACGTGCGGGCCGCGGGCACCGGACAGCGGATTTGGTTCGGATGCGGGGCACCGTCCGGAACGTGAACCTCTGCGCCACAGCAAGGGCATTCGGGGCACACGCCAGGGCGACTCTGGTGCGCGGCTCGGCGCTCGGAGATTTTGCGAGTCAGGTCTGGTGGAGCGCCAGCAGCAGCTACGCGTCGCACGCGGGCAACGCGAGGCTCTGCCTTGGCCTTCGCTTTCGCCTTCGAGCCATGCAGGGCGCCGCGGCGATTCGCGCGTGAACCCTCGAGCCAAAACGCACATGGTCGTCCCTGCGGTCCCGCCATCCTGTCCCTTTGTATGGTCCCCTCGTATGGTCCTCCCGTATGGGCCCCCCGTGTGGTCCCCTAGTATGGTCCCCTCATATGGTCCCTCTGTATGGTCCCCCCGTATGGTCCCCCCGTATGGTCCCCTCGTATGGTCCCCTCGTGTGGTCTCCTCGTATGGTCCCCTCGGATGGTTCCCTCGTATGGTCCCCCCGTCTGGTCCCCTCGTATGGTCCCGGGAGACAGGCGTGCACCACTCCAACGCACGCACATGGACAGAGTAAGACCGTTCGGTAACCCCTCACTCTGACAAAGCTGGCCTAATCTGGCGCCGTCCCGCCAAATTCCTCTCCATCCCGGTCAATTCGGCTTCATCGGATTTCGTCTTGGGCTTAACCTGCGCCTGTCCGACTGGGTGGCCGTTCAATCCGGACTGATATTATCTGTAAGGGCTTTGCCCCCTTCCACCGGCTCCCTCTCTATCATCATGTGATCTATCAGAGTCGCGTCGATGCGTCTCGGCGCTGCCTTGGCGCATCTGGGAACATCATGCGGGGGCGGATAGGAATCATCAGCGCATTTTTTGAGACGTTGGCATTCTCCTAGTGGCCTTTGGCCCTTCCCCACCGTGCCTGGGTTATTGGTCTGAGGCCTCTTGTACATGTGTTGGGGTGTCGTGGGGAGCCTCTCGGGAGCCTCTTGGAGGCGGTTTGGGCGCCTCTTGGGGTCTCTTGGAGCCTCGCGGGGTATCTTTTGGGCCTCTTGGATGCCTCTTGGGCGCGTCTTGGCCGCCTCTTGGGGCCTCTTGGGGCCTCTTGGAGCCTCTTGGGGCCTCCTGGGGGCTTCTCGGGGCACAAATATTGAATTTTCGGTTCGCGGTCCCCTGCTTAGGCCCTCTTGGGCCCTCTGGAGCGCTTCTTGGACCATCTTGGAGCCCTCTTGGGCCGTCTTAGGGCTCTCTTTGGGGGGCTTCTTGGGCTGTCTTGGGGCGGTCTTGGGAGCTTCTTGAGCCGTCTTGGAGCATCAGAAAGCCGAAAATGCGAGAAGGCCGAAATCCTTCAAAAGCCTTCGTCAAATCAACGATTTTGGCCTCGTGGGGATCTTTCGGGAGGCCTCTTGAAGCGCTCTTGGGGCTTCTTGGGGCCCTCTTGGGCCGTCTTGGAACCATTTTCTGGCGCCTTGGAGCACCCTTGGCCTCGGCAATGCGAATATGGCGTAATTTGCACATATTTTTGGCGTTGTACGAAGGATTATAGCCCTGGGGACGCGTATTTTACGCGTCCCACGCCCCCTCGGGAATTCAGACATCGCGATCCGGGCGTGGTCACTGGGTGGTTTGGGGCTCCCCCCCTCACGCGGACTTCAACAATTTCCAGTGGGAAGCAGAAAGCAGGATTGTGACATTGGAGGCTTGAAATTGCAACTGGTGCAGGGAGCAGCACACTTCGTCCTTCAGCCTGGTGTCCCCACAAGGGGGCCAGCTGATAGCCCTTGATCTTTCTCTTAGACAGTCCAGGGGTCGGTAGGGATTGGTTCCCCCCCCCCAAGCGACCGCAACCTTCCGGAACCCAGCGAAAAGCCTCCCCGAAGGGTTCTGGGAGGCTTTTCGGTGAGTTCCAGCAGGGTTTCAAAATTGTTTTGGTCGATTTGGAGGGAAACCAGTCCCTAGCAAACCCTGGGCTTTCTAACCTGCATCGTTACGAAGACCTTCCAGAAGTTGCGCCCTAAGAAAATCGAATAAGACAAAACAGCATAAACATAAACTTTCGCAGGTCCGCGCGGATTTCTTGGATCGGTGCTTGGGCCCACCTGGCGCTGCCCCTGGTGCGCCCCGCGCGCCAGGAAGGGGAGCCCAGCGCCGGTTCAAGAAACCCGCGCGGACCGTCGAAAGTGAATGCTTATTTAGTTTTTCTTGCCTCGAGTCGGCGTCACCCCATTATACTCCTACTATATGTGCGTCGTCCTCCCAGGGGCGACGCGCGCACAGAGAAATCCTCTAGTACATGTGTCGCGGCGGGCGCTTTCTGGCCACACCGCTCGGGAAACGATAATCTACAACATGGGTATGCAATCTATGTTCGGGTCGGACGGGCGCCTCCAAAGAGGACATACAATACTGTTACGTCTTTGTGCACGCCATCTAGGAAAGAGGCAAAGGACAAGAACAAGCAGGTGTCGAACCAGCGCCGCACTGTCGACGCGCGCCACACCTACGGGGACTTCCTCTCGGAGTCGGCCCAGCAGGTCGGCCGCGCGGCCGACCAGCGCAAGGCGAACGGGGCTGCCGCCGCGACGCGCCGCAGGCCGCCGCCGGCGCGCTGACCGCGCTCGGCGCGCGCCGCGGCAGCACCCCTCGCTGGTGTCTCGCCCCCCATGCCGCCTCACCAGGCACGAGGAAGGACCACAGCCACAAGTGAGTTCGAAGAGCAAAAACTCAGGAGGGAAAGAATCACACAGACACAATTAATCGTCGATTCCCCCGAGAATATAGGAAAATATGGGAAGTGGGGGGGAAGATAAAAACTGAGAAAATATGGGAAAATATGGGGAATCATTTTATTGAATCGCTTCGCTCATTCCGCCGGCCCGTGATATGGCATCGCTGGTTTTTGTCTGTGTGTTCGTTGCCCATGTTGCGCTCTTGGGGGCGGGTGTCGTTCGGACGCGTTGCGTGGGGAGTTTTGATGGTGAAGCAGTTCCCTGGGGGTCGTCTCTCGATGGGGCGAAATAGAGTCGTCGTCAAGATGCTTCTTTGGGGGGCCTCTTGGGGTCTGTTGAGAGGCCGTTCGGGGGCGCCTGGGAGACATGTTTGAAGCCTTCTGGGGCTTCTTTTGGGCCTCCTGGGAGTCTCCTGGGGCCTCTTGGCGACATCTTGGGGCCTCTTGGAGGCCTCTTGGGGCCTCTTTGGGACCTCCTGGGCGCCTTCTGGGACGGAGGGCTCCATTTTTGAGTTCTCGGTATCCCTCCTGAGTCCCTCTTGGGCCCGTCTTGGGGCCTCTTGGTCCGTCTTGGGCGGCACTTGGGCCGTCTTGAGGGCTCTCTTGGGTCGTTTCGGCGCCGTCTTGGGAGCTTCGTGGGCCGTCTTGGAGCGGTCTTGGGGGCCTCTTGGGCCGTCTTGGAGCGTCCGGAAGCCGAAAAAGCCAGAACACAAAAAACATCGAAAAAACCAATGAAAATCAACGATTTTGGCCTCTTGGGGCTCTCTTCGGAGGCCTCTTGGAAGGCTCTTGGGGCGTCTTGGAGGCCTCTTGGGCTGTCTTGGGGGCCTTTTGGGCCGTCTTGGGGTCATCTTCGGCGTCTTCGAGCGCTCTTTGGGCGTCTCGGGGGCCTCTTGGGCAGTCTTGGGGGCCTCTTGGGGCACTCTGAGCGCGCTCTGGGGAGCCTGAGAGGCCGCACCCAGAAGGAAAACCATCTCTGAGTAGACTTGGTCGGGCGGCGGTCGGGCGGCGGTCGGGCGGCGGTCGGGCGGCGACCGGGCGGCGACCGGGCGTTGGTCGGGGTACTTTTCGCCGGGGGACCCCCAGGGGCCGCCCCGCGCGCGCGAACTAGAAATACTGTTAATACTGTTAACCAGTTACCGGAGATCTGAGCACGCCCTGGCCCGTTGGGCCGGCGAATTTGTGTGTATTTATTTGTGTGTCCCAGGGCCCCTTCAAAAACGGCATAGACATACACTTTTGGAGCTCCGTGCGGATCTCTTGGATCTGCGACCCCCTGGCGGCGCCTCCGGCGCCACCTCTGGCGCGCTCCGCGCGCTAGGGAGGGGGTCCAGGTCAGAGATCCAAGAAACCCGCGCCGACCTCCAAAGTTTTATGTTCATGCAGTTTTTTTGCTCCTCTATGAGAAAATATGTTTTGGGATGGCCCCTCGGGGAAGAAAGCCCACGGGCCTCGACATGAGTCCTCGGGATGTGGTTTTGTGGCCGATTTGCCCGTCTGGGAGGCGCCCACGTCGACCACAACTAGTACGAAGCTGGTTTCGGTGTTCTGACGATTGTTGGCACGCGCGGGACACCCCCCAGGGTGTGTTCTCGATGTGATTCGGCCGCCTCCTCTTGTGCCCCTGGTATGGCGGAGTTGCCCCCCTGTGGGGCAAAGTTGCCCCTTGCATGGCGGAGGTTTCCTAAGCTCTATCGGGCTGACAAGTTTTCTTAGAGTAGGGCCTCGCTCCAGAACGTCCTGTTCACCACCCACACCTGATGGGCCACGGCCCTCCGCTCTCAGTAGGACCGCCCAGCGGCGCGTGCTGCAGCGCCTCGTCTCGTCTCGCTGCCTCCTCTTCTGACTAGCTCGCTTTGTGTGTGTGTGTGTGTGTGTGTGTGTGTGTGTGTGCGAGTGTGCGAGTGTGCGAGTGTGCGAGTGTTTCGGAGGAGGAGAAGGTACCGACACAGGCCCCCTCGCGTCAGGCCAAAAGCACGACGGTTCTTTGGCGAATGTCGGCAGCAAGGGGGGCCCTTCCCGAGCCTCGGGGGTCCGTCCGAAATCGGCTAGAGCGGGCCCTGAAGACGTCACGACGTTGGGGTTCCTGGGTCGTCGCCGAGGCGGGATTCGCATCGGAAAGATATTCAGAATTCACCCAGGGATAGGTGATGGGAATGGCGGCATCGGTATCTTCTTTTCCACCTGGTCTTGGGCCACCGTCGTCGGTTCTGTTGGTCAGTCTCTTTCCACTGGGGCCAGGTCGTCGATGGCTGCAATGGCAGTCTGGCCTGACCTTTTTCCGTGCGCTCTTTTGGCGGCGTCGAAGGCCCACGCAACACAATTGTCTGGAGGAAGGCTGCGCGGCACCTGTTCGCACGAGACTGCACGTGCTCGAGCAGCTGGTGGTGCGATCTGAAAGCACGCCGACAGGTGAGTGACGTAGAACAACGGGGTCGTCTTCACCGACATTGGCGCGTAAGCTGCCCGCGTAAGGTCGCGCGTAAGCACCCTCGTCTCCACTGCAGCGTGCCGCGCTGGCGGCCCGTGGAAGCCGCCGCGTAAGGTCACCATGCCGTCTTGCGTAAGTAGTTCCATTTCTTCTCGTCGCTCGAGTGGCGTGTTCCAGAAAGGATTTTGCCCTCGGACCCCGTCGGCGGAGGCGGGCGGACGTGGGACGGCGGCGGGCCCGTCGGTGGGCCCCCCCGCCCGCGGAAGCTCGGCGGAACGCGGCGGAGCCAACAGTTTCTTCCCAGCTATCCTGTGGTGTTGGGTTCTCGTTTTGACGAGACAGCGCCCCGCGTTCCTTCCTCTCCATTCCTCCTCGTCCCCTCCTCCCTCCTCCCATCCCTGCCTCTGCCCTCCGCGCAAGTCAACCATTTCGGTGCACCCCTCACATGTTTCGTGGCTCCATCGGGAGCTCCACCCAAGGCCCACATGGTGCCGCCCGCATGCGTCCCCGCCACCCATTTTGGCACACCCCTCACACGTTTCGTGGCCCATAGGGGGAGAGAGAGAGAGAGGGAGAGAGAGAGAAGCCGTGCACGTCAGAGGTGCATCGGGAAAAGAGGGTGACACGACAGTATCTACAAATGGGCCGCTCGCACTGCGCCGTGGCGATGCGCAGCAAACCTGTGAAATATAATATCTTGCACGGAGTGGCATAACAATGATGCTGCGACCGGCAATGCGAAACCTCCGGCGTCGCCGGCTCCAAGCACTGGTCGGAGGTGAGGGGGTGAGATCGAAGTGGAACGGAAAGCCCCCCTACCGGGAAATCGGTTTCGGTTTCGTGTTCGTGCGTGCCGTGCGTGCGGGCGAGGCGAAGCTGCGTGGGCGGGCGAGAAGAAAGTCTCCTCCGGCTGAGGCGCGGCCGGACCAAATGATTCCTCTCCTGGGGCCGGTGCTGCGCGGTGTCCCGCCGGTGTCCCGCCTCCGGCTGAGGCGCGGCCGGACCAAATGTTTCCTATCCGGGGGCCCGTGCCCCGCGGTGTCCCGCCGGTGTCCCGCCAGTGTCCCGTCGGTGTCCCGATGATGATGATAATGGTGATGATGTTGACGATGATGATGATGATGATGATGATGTTGTTGATGATGATGATGATGATGATGATGATGATGATGGTGATGGTGATGGTGATGGTGGCGATGATGATGGTGTCCCGATGATGATGATGATGATGATGATGATGATGATGATGATGATGATGATGATGATGATGATGATGATGATAATGTTGACGATGCTGACGATGTTGATGATGATGGTGATGATGATGGCCATGGCGGTGATGATGATGGTGTCCCGATGATGATGATGTTGATCATGCTGATGTTGCTGATGATGATGGCTTCCCGATGATGGTGATGATGTTGATGATCCTGATGATGTGGATAATGAAGATGAGATGATGAGATGATGATGATGATGATGATGATGATGATGATGATGATGATGATGCTGATGATGATGATGATGATGATGATGATGATGCGTGTGATGATGATGCAGATTATTATGATGATGATGGTGTCCCGATGATGATGGTGAGGATGAGGTTGATGATGATACTGTTGATGATGATGATGGTGATGATGATGATGGTGTCCCGATTATGATGATGTTGATGATGATGACGATGATGGTGTCCCGATGATGATGATGGTGATGATGATGATGCTGATAATGATGATAATGATGATGATGATGATGATGATGATGATGATGATGATGATGATGATGATGAGGTGATGATGATGAGGTGATGATGCTGATTTTGATGATGGTGGCCCGATGATGATGATGCTGATGTTGATGATGATGATGTTGTCCCGATGATGAATATGATGGTGATGATGATGATGATGTTGACGATGATGATGGTGTCCCGATGTTGATGTTGTTGATGATGATGATGATGATGTTGCTGATGATGCTGATAACGGTGTCCCGATGATGATGTTGATGATGCTGCTCATGATGACTATGAGGTGATGATGATGATGGTGGTGGAGTTCCGATGCTGATGATGATGAGGACGGTGTCCCGATGATGATGATGATGTTGATGATGATGATGGTGACGATGATGGTGTCCCGCTGATGATGATGGTGATGATGTTGATGATGATGGTGATGAGGTCATGATGATGATGATGGTGTCCCGATGGTGATGATGTTGTTGATGATGATGATGATGTTGATGACGTTGATAACGATGATGTTGATGATGATGATGATGATGATGATGATGATGATGATGATGATGACGTTGATTGTGATATCGATTGTGATGTCGGCAATGAGATCGATAGTGAGACCGAATGTGAGATCGATAGTGACATCTATAGGGAGATCGATCGTGAGATCGGTTGTGAGATCGATAGTCATATCGATTGTGAGATC